CGCATCATCTGGAGCAGAGCAATTGCAGAATTCGTGATATGGACCAAGTCCATGTGTTTCTTCAAAAGCATCTCCTTCATTGGCTTGAATCCTTAAGCCTTTTGGGGAAGATTTCAGAGAGTATTGCCTTGATTGATACATTACAGTTGCTTGTCGCAGTAAGTAATTTGCCAAATTAATATCCCATGCTTTTTGATTCTGTTTGTACTAACAGATATATTCAGACTGATGGAAGCACTCAAGTAGCCAGGTTTCTTTATGATACAAAGCGCTTTATCCAAAAGAACAGATGGATAGTTGATACCGCACCTCTTCAGCTTTACTCTTCTGCGATTATTTTTGCGCCGGAGATGAGTATAGTTAGGCATATATTTAAGGATAAGATTCCTAGTTGGATTTCTACTTTACCGAAAGTGGAATCAGCTTGGAGCGCGGAATTGCAGACCCTGGAGGGCCACTCAAGCGTGGTCGAGGCACTGGCATTCTCACCAGATGGCAAGCTGGTGGCATCTGGCTCTCATACAGTCAAGCTCTGGGATCCAGCCACAGGAGCTCTACAGCAGACCCTAGAAGGCCACTCAAGCAGGGTTAAGGCAGTGGCATTCTCACCAGATGGCAAGCTGGTGGCATCTGGCTCTGCTGATCATACAGTCAAGCTCTGGGATCCAGCCACAGGAGCTCTACAGCAGACCCTAGAAGGCCACTCAGAACTGGTTGGGGCAGTAGCATTCTCACCAGATGGCAAGCTGGTGGCATCTGGCTCTGGTGATGGTACAGTCAAGCTCTGGGATCCAGCCACGGGAGCTCTACAGCAGACCCTCAAGGTTGACACAGTGATTAGGGAGCTAACTTTTTCCAAAGACGGTCCATACCTAGAAACAGATAGCGGACCGTTAAATATCGATTCTCTCTACACTGGCACTTTCGCTCATGAGCAGCGAAATATATGCAATATATTTGTACAAGGGCTCGTTGGGTGACTCGAGAGATGACAATGCCATTTGGCTGCCTCCTGACCTACCGACCGACCTTGTTCAGTCTTTCCAAGGC